GAACACTTGCTCTTGTAGACCAGCTGGTCTCGAACTCACAGAGATCTACCTACCTTGCCTCCCAAGTGCTGAACTAAAGGCATGCATCACCATACATCTCTAGGGTACATTTCTCATTGTTTATTTGTTTTGTGTTGTTGGTTGGTTGGGTGGGTGGGTGGGTGGTTTTGTTTATTTTGGGGGTGTGATTTTGGATTTTTACTCTGCTGGGTATTGAGCCCAGGACTTCATGGGCTCTAGCTGGAAAAATAACACCTGCCTCAAAAAAGCTTTAATTGGAAATTCAGTGTCAGCCTGGAGTGTTGCTTTACAGCTTTAATCCTAGCATTCAGGAGGAAATGGCAGGCAGATCTCTGTTAGTTGAGGGCTGAATAGTGTCAGAGCCAGTGGGATCTCTGAACACCAGGACAGCCAGGGCTACATAGGGAGACCCTGACTAAAAACAATAAAAGATAAAAAGAAAGAAATTTAATGTCTTTAAATTAGATATTTGTCCATTAAAGTTGTGGGTTTTTTTTTTTTAGGTCAATGTTGATATTTTGTGTACTTAACCTCTTTTAGGGATTTGTCCATTTCATTTAAGATACTATACCCCTTTATTTAATGAAAATCATACCAACTCATATTTTTAACGTCTATGGGCTCTGTTGTGATGGCTGTTATTCTAAGTACTGTTTCTTTTTCTTTCTCCTTTTTTTTTTCTGGGCACAAGCAGTCCTGCTAACTCAGTCTCCCCAGTAACTGAGACTAGAGTACACTACTGTACCCTATCTTCCTTATTTTCTTGGTGAAATCAAGATAAACGGTTATCAATCAAAATGGTAATTTTAAATAACTAATTTTGGGGATTTCATTAATTTTTCTGAATTATTTGTCAATTTTCTATTTTGTCAATTTCTACTCCTAACAATTTCTTTTGTTTATTTTTTAATTATAGTTTGGTCATCTTTTCTAGTTAATTCAGGAATAACCTCACTGATTTTAAAAATGCTTATGGTTGGGGGCTGGAGAGATGGCTTAGCAGTTAAAAGCCCTGACTGCTCTTTCAGAAGACCTGGGTTCAATTCCCAGCAACCATATGGCAGCTCATAACTGTCTATAACTGTTATATATAACACTCTCACACAGACATGCATTAAGGCAAAACACCAATGCACATGAAATAAAAATAAATAATTTTAAAATGCTATGGTTTTGAGATTTTTAGTATTATTTTTCAAAATTATCCTTATTTTATGTATATGAGTGCTTAAATGCATGTATGTGCACCATGTTTTTGCCTAGTGCCAAAAGAAACCAAAATGTGGCATTGGAGCCCCTAGAACTGGAGTTACAGGGAGCTGTGAGCCATCATGTAGATTCTGGGGACCAAGCCAAAGAACTTTCAACAAATGCTCTTAAATGCTAAGCCCTATTTTTACATTTTTAATTATGTATGTTTGTGCGCCCGGGCGTTGGTGGCGCACTCCTTTAATCCCAGCACTTGGGAGGCAGAGGCAGGAGGATCTCTGTGAGTTCGAGACCAGCCTGGTCTACAAGAGCGAGTTCCAGGACAGCCTCCAAAGCCACAGAGAAACCCTGTCTCAAAGAACCAAAAACAAATTATGTATGTTTGTGCCAATATGTTAGTATGTGCATGTGAATGCAGGTTGCCCTTAGAGGCCATCAGATCCTTCTGGAACTGGAGTTAGAGGCAATTCTGAGCCACGTGACATTGGTGGGTGCTAGGAACTGAGCTTCTGTCCTCTACAAAAGCAGTATGCACTCTTAACCACTGAGCCTTCTTTCCAGCCTCCTGCTTGGGCAGTTTGGTTGTGTTGGTGGTGGTAGTGGTGGTGGTGGTAGGGTGACTGTGACCCATTAGTACAGTTCTTTTTTTTTTTTTTTTGGTTTTTCAAGACAGGGTTTCTCTGTGTAGCTTTGGAGCCTATCCTAGCACT